TTTTGACAATTCCACTATAATTGTTATTTACGAGCGGTATTGTTCGCCTTAACTGATCGTCGTAGCTTTGTAATGAAATAGTAATGTTGTCACGAGGCTCATGACATGGTATCGAATCCCGTAAGGGTTAGTGGTAAGGTTCAAGTGGCCTGAAAACTTAGTTGACCTGGAACATGCTACCAGTTCCTCTGCTATTTATTTTCAACCTAATTCTGAAGTCCTCTTTCCTCAATCTGGCGGGTGTACATAGGTTGATAAGAAAGTAGTCTGATTTCGTTTTTTTAACTTGGACACGTTGCAACTTTGTTGGACGCATCATGTCCGAAGTCCTCTGCTATTCTAGTTATCACAATTCCCAGAGTCGGACTGTTAGCTTTGTACATTCCCAGACGTTACGCCGGCATCGTCAATGAGTCTTGCCATCCTCAGCCTGTAAATCTGTTTCTTATCTACGAAGCCGGCGAAACGTCTGGGAATGTATCAAGTCCACGATCCGAGGCTGGGAATTATTATATTTACTACAACAGAGGACTTTGGACAAGGTGCGTTCAACGAAGTCGCCTTGACAACACGATCAAGTTGCAAAAGCTAGGTCAGACCACTCCCATAAATCGAAAGTAGACTGGAACCAAAATAGAGGCCACAACGTTTTGGTCTTCATATATAAGTTGGTTAATTCCATTTTTGGTCATGTCTTCATGGACAGCCTCTCTCCTTAAGTCACTCTGCTGGGAGCCTAATGAGTTTATGCTACCCAGGAAACCACCTTTTTGCATTTGCCTTATCTTGATCCTGGAAATATTCATGACTATAACGAAGGGGAATTTAATGCGCGGTACATTCTTGCTAAGAATAGGATGTAAAACAAGGTAAAGTAAAAATTTCACAGCGAAAGAAGATCGCAGTCATACCTAAAATCACAAAATTTTAGTCTTCAAATGTACGATTGAAAACTGATGACTACCTCCAGACCACCATTTAATCCTAACTGCATGCTCGATGTGCACCAGTTGAATACTGAGCTAAATTGTGATCCGAATGGAGGTGTATACAGGCCGATTTAAAGGCAACAATTTACACTTTCAAAGAGGTGACATCGGTCTCGAGCCCAAACGACCTCCAAAACTGATGACACCTGTCTAGGCTTACCCAACAATGCTGATAAGTCCAGTGTGCAGATCAAGACTAAAAAATGGGTGTGGAGGACGAAGAACGTAAAGCAGCCTCCCATTAATTTCAGGACTGTCTCTGTCTGTCGCCTGTACTCTAAGCGGCATATTCCTGTCCCATGGCTTGGAAGAACTGCTTCCCGGCCTGGCCGGTCTCAAGGCCGATACTGGCGTTCCTGCTGGTTGATTCTCCGACACATAGCCCCGGTAGGACTGGCTTGTAAATACCGGCGGATGGTTGTTGACATCCACCACTTCCACCTCTATCCAAATCGAGCCTGTCAGACCAGTCGAGATTCCTACAAGTGGCGGAGGTAGTGAAATAACTGTAAAATACCGTGGTTTTGATAAAAAAACAAAATTTTACTGTAAACAACTAAGGAATAAATAAAAGCTCATCAAGACTTGATGATTGTAGGGCAGAAATTAGTGTTTTTTAACGATTACTCGACACCAGCACTTTGGTCTTGTATGCATGATTACACACACCCACACTCACAATGATATACGTCAATAGAGATAGTAATCATGAGAAAATAAATAATGCCTTTGTATATCTACAGTCAGTTGAGTTATTTCATGAGTACATATGCATACAAGTAGGGGCTTAGAGACAACATCGAAAATGCCACCGAAAAGTCTGGAATGTGCAAGTGCTTGGCTTTCCTTGAAATTCACATCTGCCGTGTGACCAAGGGCGCTCGTGGCAATGTGCCGTAGTGGTTAACGTGTCGAGATTATACGCTGCCCTGTCATGGCTCGAGTCCCGTTGGGGGTGCTTATGAGATTTGGGCGGGGTCGAAAATGCCGTCCACCATGGATGGAAAACCTTTTTGAAGAGCAAGGATATGTTAAATTTAATGGAAGCCTAAGGTCTACTCATATCATACCAGTCCCTTATCATCTTAAACGAAATAGGGTGAATACATGTCAAACGTACACTTTGTTTGGCTAAACAATATGCGGTTTCGTATTATGACAAGACAACAAATTCAATTATAATTGACTCGAAACTCAGCAATTTCTATTTTATTTACAGTCTGGCTGATGTGGAGTCCTACTCAGGCCCTAGGAGCGTTTTATCAAAAAGGCAAAATAGAGAGAAATTTAATTAAAAAAAATAAAGCGTTTCTCCCATTTTTAAGCATACCGAGAGGTAGAACGAAATAAGACGAGGCAAATGGTGTATATTATTGACTATTTATTTTTCGATTTACTTATTCATCACCCGTCTTATATTTATTAAAGCCCCAACTTTCATTTTACTGACAGATGATTTGTAGAATCATAAGAACCTTATTTTCACTCAAATTGTTTTGTGATTTATTCAATTAGTTTGACTCAGATTCCTCAACTTAGTCATGCTTTCAGGAAGACTTCTAAAAACGTACCTTGGAATTTGCCCTTGTTATTATTGTCATGTGGCCTTCAAACAATGGAGCCTTGAGTGACTGGATCCCTATGCTCGAATAGCATATTTTATCCGTGCCAAGTACACTTGGTAGTGTTGTCCTGGAAACATGACATAGTTGCACAAACCAGATCAAACAAAATCCAAACTACAAAACGAGACTGTGAACCCCATACTCAAACTTAATGTAGAATATTCAACAGACGGTTTGTCAAAGGATCGACTTTACTTGTCTCTTTGACGAGTTGTAGTGTGATGCTAAGAATGGCAAGGTTCATTGAGGATGCCGACTAAGATGCCGGAAAAACTTCTGGAAATGTATCAAGTCTACGATCTGATGCTGGAAATTATCATGGTTACTTTCGCTGGCAATACGACAAAATTGAGAAATCCATTTTTATACAACAAAATAAGACTGATACTATAATAAAGAGCACAGTATCTTGGCCCTCACACTTTCGGGTAAACAAGTTCGGCTAGGGTCAGCCTTCCAAAAAACCTGAGAAATAAGTTGAGAATTGCGTAATGAGTCTCAAAATATGCATAATAATATTCTAATGAATTAAGTCGAGATTGAAATTGTGGCAGCTGCGACGAGGATATGGTCCCTCAATAATTTTTATAGTTTATTTTAAAGTGCGTAAAGCATAGATGAGATGTGTCGGTACAGAATAAAGATTTCACCTACCATGAATGTGTCTGGCGGTAACCAAAAGTCGATAAAAAGGACGGAGCTCGTAAGAAAGGGGCGCGCAGGATAGAGTTGCGGTCTTCGAGTTGATTCTGAATTTGTTTTCTACGTCTCCTACTGAAAAAGAATAGAAGAATCTTTATGAGTAAATATGGCTTGCATCTCTCTTTTGTCTAAGCCCTTATGAAAGGAGGGCTCATTTTAGAGATACTTTGTCTCCCGACCAGAGGACCATGCACTAAAATGTTTACATGCTGACCGGATTTCAACGCAATGGGGTACGAACAGCGAACCAAGCCATCCACTTTCAGGTTTAGGCACATCTCCCATCCCACCAAAAGAGAAGAAGATAAAACTTCAAGTTCTCCCTGAAGGCGATATTTTCTGGCTTAACAGTCTTATCGCTTCCACAGCGTTGTGCTCTGGTGTAAAATGCAGTTACATTCGAAGAAACGGCTAGAAGTACAACTCAAATATAATAGAAATACCCATTCTTCCCAAAACAGCTTTACGTCTTTGCTCAGAATTTTTCACTTTTTTATTCAGGTTGTGCCAACTGTGTTTCTGTATTACTTCACTTCTCACCGACTATATTTTCAAAGGATAGCAATAAAAATTGAAATTTAAAGTTATTACGTGGATAATTTATTTTACTCCGGGATGCATTTAAATACTTTCGATGTGATTATTTAGCATGAATAGGAGTAATTCGTAGATAGAAATTACAGTCACCTTTGCTTTTTTGGCAAAAACTGCCCAGAGTTTGTTTTATGAGCTGTGTTCACCCTGTTTCAACATGATGAACGTCATATCTATTCATATTATTGTGGGAAAATTCATCTATCAGTCCTACACCAACTTAAACGAAATAGCGTGAGCACAGCTCATATATCTGGTAGTCTCGAAAACCTACTCGAAGCGGAAATAAATTAGTTTCAATTACGATTATTCACATTTACTAATTAATTTCAATCGAAGGTAGGAAGACCAAGATGATGTGGTCTTTACTATAGTTTCGGTTTCCTTTTATTGTATAGAAGTAGTTTCACTTCGGTTTCGCAATTCGGCCGT